GATCCGTGAAAATAAAATCCAGCGAATATACTTTTTTCCTATATTTCACATTAAACTCATCAAAAAACAGTGAAAATAAATTCCATACAAAATGCCCAAAAAGCCTTTTCAGCGAAAATTAATTCCAGCGAAAATAAAGTATTCCACAGTATGTCCTTTAGATAAGTACGACTACTATTAAAGACACCAACATGCATCACTAGATCCAGATCATTTATGAAATTTGTTCACCTTATTCCAATATTTGTACCTGCTATAGGTTCAATGCATAAATAAGTATAGACAACATACAAGGTATGAGGCTAGAACACAACATAATTCACACATACATACAAATGTACTTTTTCACGAGACTTGATTATACAATGCACAAGAGATACCTGAAAACTACTGAGATATCGAGACATCGACAGAACAAGATATTTGCTCTATTAGAAGTGCATCTCCAGCAGAGACGTATCCATATATAAAATGCCTTATTTAGACCATAAAAATACCAAGTATGTAATTTACGTAGGAGCATGTGTTACTGAGAGAGCAAATATCAAAAATGTGGTCAATAAACTTTCTAAATAGCTGCCAAGAATTCAATGAGAGTGTAAGCCAAAAAATTATTTTTGTCACTCAAATAGTTTCTTTCTCTCCAGTCATCCCAGTGCCTGTTTCACATACAAGGGTTACTGAAAAGAATGGAACGCTATTTGTGGGAACAACAAGTTTTGTGGTTTCTTGCTCTCGATAAAATCTTGGTGACCATTTGCGAATACAGAAATCTGTAATCACATTCCCCTTCATCAAATTACACACAAATCACTAATAATGTATTCTGCACATACTGGTTAACAGCTAATTTTTTGTTAGTAGATATATGCAAGATTAGGTGGAAGAACCAGAGTAGAGCATTTACTACTGTAACATCAATATTTTTCCTAATTCAAAAAATACGCAAAAATGAACATATTTTGCAGTATCCTACCTGATTGCAAATTAATGGTGGACAGTCTGCTACAGAACACTGCACGCTACCATCCTTACACCGACATCTTGTACACGAGACAGGACTCCATTCACTTCCATCAGTGTAACTTGTGCCACCATAGTTACAAGGTCCTAGAAAACCAAACGATGAATTTTTCAAAATAATCCTTTTTTTAATATATTTTGTCAATTGTCAAGGCATGTCAAATAAACTTCATAGAAATCAAAAATAAACTGTTTGGTTGAAACTTGTGAATAATTAAATAGGCTACACTTAATCAATGATCACTTGGCTCAAAAAGGATTTGAACAGACCTTAGATGCAAATGGCTGCTAAGCAAAAAACAAACTAGCTTTATTTGCCACAATGACCAAATAGCACAAAGACACCATGGACCCAATGACGAAAAAAAATACAACACTATTTTGGGGTCAAAAACAAGTCATGTGACTCTCTTTCTCTCAATGACATCTCAGCGGCAATTTGCTAATAAATCCATTAGTGACAATCAGACCAAATATTTAATTTGATGATTTGCGTTTATTATTGTCAATTCTATTATAAATAATTCAACAAAATTAAAACAAATGTTATTGCTGTTTGACAATACTTACTACCAACAGATATACATTTTGGACAGCAATCTTCCTGAGTGTGATGAATAGCTTGTCCCGCTGTACATCGCAGCTGAGGACAACTCTCATTTTGACAGTCTAAAATCCCATTAAAACAAAAACATTTTTCACACTTTGAAGGATTGCTTTCTGTGTTATGCTGAGAAGAAAATAAATTATAAAAGAATAGTTAATAAAAATTATAGTTTACACACTGATGTTTAGTAAGCTCAATGTCATGTGATCGTAATTTAAATCTGTAAATTAGGTCATGTGATTATAACTGACATATGTAAATTAAGTCGTGTGACATGTCAAAAGTTACATGATTTACATCATCTGAATCGCTCTGTTTCGTTGAAGCTGTGCATGCGTGTGTTACGAAAAGCTGTATTTGATTTCAGTTAAACTGAATGATTAGATTTGGCATGACAATAAGCTGAATCCATCAATCAGCATTCCAGTAACAAAAACTCGCATCAATTTAAATTTCAACCAATGAACTGTGTCGTCTCATAGCTTTACAGACAAAAACACATGATCGTTTTACAATGGTAACTTGACTTTGTGGTTGTTTTGCCATAGGAAACCATCAAAGCATACGCCATTGAGTTTGACTTCATTGACAGTGAATCCAGATTTATAATGGGAATAATAATGGGAAGTTATAATGGCTGGCAAAGATGGGATGATTTAGTACTGAAATATAGTGTGAAATTGTGTTACATGTGTAACTATTATGCTAATAAAAGTAAATTTAAAATGCATTTTGGCTATGGAAACCACAGCTAAATTTGTGCTTATTATTTTGTTGGTTCAAGGGAGTCCTATTGCATGGGACGCCCCTTGATTAAGAAAGAGAACCTGATAAAATCATAACTTCTTTTATCAAAGCAACAGTGAGAATGCCACCATGCAGTTTCTCCAAACATATTGATGGAAACATATTTAACAGATCAAAAGGTTGTTTTGGGTTACATGGTAATTAAGTTTCATATCGTGTGATGTAACAAAATACTAAGATGTGGTTGGATTCAGTGAAAAGTTATTTTGCTATTGGCAAGATCTGATGTCAATTTGTGTGTATTTTTAATGAACAGAAATGTGCAAAGATAAACATAACAGAGACAAGTAACTAGATCTAATGTAACTGTGTCACATATCCACCAACCAAGACAGATTTGATGCTGTGAGAATCAAACTCATAATCTCCAGAATACACACTAAAATTCAAATAACAAGCAGCCTCTCGACTGAGATATCTCTGCTGCTAGCAATGCATATTTCACTTACAGAATTGATATCATCACAAAATTAACATATCTGAAATCAGTTCATGTGAGGTACCTATATGTATAGTATCAAAGCAATGAGACTTGCTGTTTCCAACATAAAGTCAAAAATATAATTTATTACCAAAAATGAAAAGATATTACCCAGTATTACCAAAAATGACAAAAATATTAATCAAAATCAGAGAATTGAATATATCATCATAAAATGAACAAATCTGAGAGAGGTCTGCCCAAGGTACATATACACAAAGTATCAAAGCAATCAGTGGTTGTTATCAAGAAAATGACGATGGACAACGGACAATCACGCATATGATAAGCACCGCTTGACAAAGTCAACAGCAGAGCTAAAAATTCTCAATTTACTTACCCCAATTATAGTATCTGAATTATATTCACATGATCCCTTGTTTGACTCACACTGCGGACAA